AGGCAGTGGCTTTATCTGCTCCGCCACAACTGGTCCTGCATGCTAATCCTTTTATCAAGGTTTCCTGTACTGTTGTAGCTGACTGAAATAATGAGAATGTTATGCATCTTGGGGAATGTCTCGTGTGTTAGTTTTTTTTTTTTTTTGACAGGCAGAGTGGACAGTGAGAGAGAGACAGAGAGAAAGGTCTTCCTTTGCCGTTGGTTCACCCTCCAATGGCCGCCGCGGCCGGCGCGCTGCGGCCGGCGCACCGCGCTGATCCGATGGCAGGAGCCAGGAGCCAGGTGCTTTTCCTGGTCTCCCATGGGGTGCAGGGCCCAAGCACCTGGGCCATCCTCCACTGCACTCCCTGGCCACAGCAGAGGGCTGGCCTGGAAGAGGGGCAACCGGGACAGAATCCGGCGCCCCGACCAGGACTAGAACCCGGTGTGCCGGCGCCGCTAGGCGGAGGATTAGCCTAGTGAGCCGCGGCGCCGGCCTTCGTGTGTTTTTCTGTTGCTCTTACTGAGCCTTGATTATTTGGGAGAACTAAGTCTTAAAGGAATTAACATTATCTGCCTCTTTTTGATGATTGATCACCTTAATTCTGGTTAGATCTGGTCCACAGCTTTGGTTAGAGTGCTCAGGTTAAATGTATATTATCAATCTATTTTTATTTTTACCAAATGTTTCTAACCTCTGACAATGCTTTAGATTTAGAATTATGAACTGAGTTTTCTGACTTTGGGGCTTCCAGTCAGATCACTGGATCTCTCAAAGGATGACCCACTGACTTGGTGAGGTGATAGTGGTTTGAGTTAAATTATGTAAAATGCGTTGGAAGGTTACAAAATCATGGCAAGTTTGTTTTATGCTTATATAAAAGTCCTATTTTTGGTGGCCGGCACTGTGATGTGGTGGGTAAAGCCACCACCTACAGTGCTGATATCCCATATGGGCGCCAGTTCAAGTCCCGGCTGCTCCACTTCTGATCCAGTATCCTGCTGATGCACCTGGGAAAGCAGTGGAAGATGGCCCAGTCCTTGGGCCCTGTACCCATGTGGGAGACACAGTGGAAGACCCCTCTCTCTCCGTCTCTGCCTCGCCCTCTCTTTCAAATAAATAAGTAAATCTTTTATTAAAAATCCAGTATTTTATGTACAATATTTAAAATATTAAAATTTTTTTATTTGACAGAGTTAGACAGTGGGAGAGAGACAGAGAGAAAGGTCTTCCTTCCATTGGTTCACTCCAAAATAGGCTGCAATGGCCAGAGCTGCGCCGATCCAAAGCCACGAGCCAGGAGCCTCCTCCCGGTCTCCCATGGGGTGCAGGGCCCAAGCACTTGGGCCATCCTCCACTGCCCTTCCGGGCCACAGCAGAGAGCTGGACTGGAAGAGGGGCAACCAGGACTAGAACCCGGCGTCCATATGGGATGCCGGCGCCACAGGCGGAAGATTAACCAAGTGAGCCACAGCGCCGGCCCCAAAACATTAAAATTTTTTTTTGGTAAAAGTATGTAGCTGCATTTAATTTTATTGTCTGCCAATCTTTTTTTAAAGATTTATTTATTTATTTGAAAGGCAGAGTTACAGAGAAGCAGAGGCAAAAAGAGTTCTTCCATCAGCTGGCTCACTCCCCAAATGGCCACAAAGGCCTGAGCTGAACTGATCCAAAGCCAGGAGCTTCCTCCAGGTCTCCCATGCGGGTGCAGGGGCCCAAGTGCTTAGGCCATCTTCTACTGCTTTCCCAGGCCATAACAGAGAGCTGGATGGGAAGTGGAGCAGCCGGGACTCAAGTCAGTGCTCATATGGGGTGCGGGTACTGCAGGCAGCAGTTTTACCAGCTTTGCCACAGCTCAGCCCCTGAACATCAAAAATTTAAAAGCAAAAAATGGGCAAGTTGCCCTACTGTTTCCACTTTGGGTATACCCTAAAGCTATCAGGGCAGGGTCTTCAAAAGATGTTTGTACACTCAAGTTCATAGCAGCATTATCCATAACAGCCCAAAGGTAGCAATGAGTTCAATGTCCATACATGGATAAGCAAAGTGCAGTGTGTACCTGCCTTGGCATACTACTCAGCCTTAAAAAGGAAATTCCTACGTGTTACAGCATGGATGAACCTTGAGGGCATTAAGTTAAATGAAATAAGCCAGTCACATGACCAGCCCTGTGGCATAGTAGGCTAAGCCTCCATCTGTGTTGCTGGCATCCACTATGGTCTCCAGTTCATGACCCAGCTGCTCCACTTCCAATCCAGCTCTCTGCTATGCCCTGGGAAAGCAGTAGAAGATGGCCCAAGTCCTTGGGCCCCTGCACCAGCCTGTGTGGGAGACCCCGAGGAAGCTCCTGGCTCCTGGCTTTGGATCAGCACAGCTCAGGCCATTGAGGTCATTTGGGGAGTGAACCAGACCTTTCTCTTTGCCTCTGCCTGTCTGTAACCCTGCCTTTCAAATAAAGCCCTCAGAGACAGACCATCCAGATCAAATTGTGAGGGGTAAAAAATTAGTCTAAAAAAAAAGAGTCAATTTCAGGAAGCACGTGTTCTAGGAAGATGAAGATTTGGCTTCCATGAAGCACCTCCCCCATCCCTACTTCCTCTACCCTTCCCTAAACCCTTCATCCCTTTCTCTTGCAAATTTTATCCTTTCTCCATTCTCTCATTTTATAATTTTATTCCTTTAGTTAAAAAAAATTCAGTTTATTCTAATATGGCCATGGCACTAAAGAGCTGAATCATATGTTATATGTGATTACATGTATTTCCTGCACAGTTTTTTTTTTAAATTTGTTTTTCATTTATTTGAAAAGCAGAGAGATGGAGTGACAGAGACAGGCAGGCAGAGATCTTCTGTCTGTGGTTCGCTCCCCAGATGACTGCTAGGTAGATGCCAGGAGTCTGAAACTCAGTCTGGATCTCTCACAGGGTGGCAAGGACCCACGTACTTGAGCCACCATTCTTGTCTCCAAGGGTGAACATTAGCAGGAAGCTGGAACTGGAAGTGGAGCTGAGACCAGAACCCAGGCACTCAGATATGCAAGCATCCCAAGCAGTCCGTCTGTTATAAACGGCACCAAATGGCAGTCCCTATACTCAGGTTTTGTTTTGTTTTGTTTTTGAGCTTATTTATTTAAAGGCAAACTAACGGGGCGGGGAGAGAGAGAGAGAGAGATCTTCGATGTGCTGGTTCACACCCCCAAATGACCTCGAAGACCAGGGCTGGGCCAGGCCAAACCAGGAGTCTGGATCCCCATCCAGGCCAACCACACTGCTGGCAGGACCCAAGTACTTTGCCATCTTCTGCTGCCTTCAGGGCACACTAGCAGGGAGCTGGATTGGAAGCAGAGGAGCTGGGACTTGAACTGGCGCTCCAATACAGGATGCTGGTGTTGCACGCAGTGGTTTAAGCCACCATGCGTATCACAAGCCCCATAGCATTTTCGCAAAGTTTTCCCAATTTATTGCCACACTTTCCCATGCTTCCTTAGGTTTAAAATTATCACTATTAATTTTTATTGAAGAGACACAGAGAGAGAAAGATACGGAGAGATCTCCCATCCACTATTTTACTCCCCAAATGCTGCCAATGGTCTGGATTGGCTGAATCAAAGCCAGGAGCCAAGAACTCAATCCAGGTCTCCCACATCGGTGGCAGGGACCCAAGACCTTGAGCCATCAGCTGCTGCCTCCCAGGGTGCACATTAGCAGGGAGTTGGAATAGGGCGCAGAGCAAGAAATAGAACCCAGACACTCAGTTCCAGCCCTCATGTTAACCACTAGGCTAAACACCTGCCCCAAAACTTCATCAAAATATAGTTCACAGAACACAAAATACATCGGTTTTATAATGACTTATGCTGATCATATATTCCTGTTAATCACCTCAATAAAGATGTGAACCATTTCCATCCCTCCCAGCAAGCTCTCCCTACACTCAGCCCAGAAGCCAGTGCTCACCAAGAACTAGTGTGTTCTTACACTCCATGTCAGTGCAATTTTCTTAAAAACTATGCTTTGAAGAAACAAAAGGCAATTATAGGTCAATGTCCTCAGTGCAAATAAGCTGGAAAAACACAAGATCTGTCCCAGCTTTGGGTCGTGGAAGGCATCCTGGTGGAACTGAAGGAATACATCACCATAGCCAGCATAGGGAAGAACGAAGCTTCTGCCAACAGCCTCGGCATCCCCTATGGGCACCGGTTCGAGTCCCGGCTGCTCCTCTTCCGACCCAGCTCCCTGCTGATGGCCAGGGAAAGCAGCAGAAGACGGCCCAAGTGCTTGGGCCTCTGCTTGCTTGTGGGAGACCCGGAAGAAGCTCCTGGTTTCTGGCTTGCAGCCATTTGGGGAGCAAACCAGCGGATGGAAGATCTCTCTCTGTGTCTCCCTCTGTCTGTAACTCTACCTCTCAAATAAATAAAACCTTAAAAATATATATTAACTGGAGGAGGCGGCTGTTTGCGGGCAGGGACTGGGGACGTGAGGGCTGGGGGCACCGCGAACAAGGGCTGCGAAGGGCGAGGATGAGGATGCACAGTGGCTTGGCGGCAGGAGCGACTCGGGTTCAACTCTTACGTGGATCTCCCCACCTTTCCGGCACCACCGAACCCCAGGTGCTTTGCAAGATTTTCCCCTCATACCGATTATGGACATAGATAAGATGATCCGCCAGCTCTGTTTGGGCCCCCTGCCATCAGACTAAGCTTTTTGAAAGCAAGTGCTTCACAACTCAACCCTTGCTAAGTAGGGAGCATTAACAAACACCGGTGGAGCAGCTGAACGATCAAACCAACGCAGGTCCCTGGAGGTACTGGGATACCTCGGAGGTGCGGCCTGGCCCAGAATCCCTAACAGCGCTGGCTGGGCCGCGGCCGGCTTCCCCAGGCTGAGGAGACGCTCTAGGATGCCACGGCGCCGCTCTAGCCCGGAGGACGCTGCTCTATGGCAACGGGGAGGGGCGGGGCCCGTGGGCGTCTCGGGGCTTTTTTGTCCCGACGCGGCGGGAGCGCGCTCGGGCGCGTGCGTGCGCGGCAGCGGTTGGCGTCGCGCGACCTGGGGGAGGCACGGCGAGGCGAGGCGAGGCGAGGTTAGGCGGCTCCGGACTCACGGATCGACTGGTCGAGCGGCCCCTACGGCCGTCGGCGGCCAGGAGGCCCGAGATGCTGTCGGGGAAGAAGGCTGCAGCGGCGGCGGCGGCCGCCGGGACGGAGGCTGGCCCCGGGGCTGCGGGCGGCGCCGAGAACGGCTCTGAGGTGGCCGCGCCGCCCGCGGGCCTGTCGGGCCCCGCCGAGGTCGGGCCGGGGGCGGCCGGGGAGCGCACTCCCCGCAAGAAGGAGCCTCCGCGGGCTTCGCCCCCCGGGGGCCTGGCCGAGCCGCCGGGGTCCGCGGGGCCTCAGGCCGGGCCTACCGTCGTGCCCGGGTCCGCGACCCCCATGGAAACGGGAATAGCGGAGACTCCGGAGGGGCGACGGACCAGCCGGCGCAAGCGAGCAAAGGTGAGACCCTAACCCCGTCTCCGCCCACAGCCCCGGGGGCCCCGAGGGTATCCCGCCCGCTCGCATCCCCGTATGGGGCCTGGAGCCCGGCGACCACCGCCCTCTCCCACCCCGCACGACCAGGGAAGGTGTTTGCCGGTGCCTTTGTGCCGGGGCCCGGTCCACCTGCGGAGGGGCGAGTACTTTATTCGTGGTATCCTGTACACCTTTGCAAAAAAATTTTTTTGGGGGGGGTCTGGAAAAGAAAAATGGCTCCCCTCCGTGGAGTTGTGGCCGGAGCCCTCGCGTGTTTGTTCGCAGCCGTGGCGGGAGCGGAAAGAAAGGACCCGGGTGGTGGTGTGGTGTTTGTTTCTGAGCCCCTGCCCTGTGCCGGGAGCTTTTTGTCTCGTCTTGTATCCGCCCGCTCGGTAGCCTTTTGCAAATGGGAGGAAGCCTGTGGAAGGAGTTGATGTCGGTTGGTCCAGGGTGCTGCGGACAGGAACAGCCGCGCGGGTCTGGGTGCCAGGTGCCGCGAGGGGCCCTGCACCCTCGGGCAGGTCTGGCGAGCCCCGCCTTCGCAGTGAGATTAAAAAGAAATATATTTGAGCCACCTGCCCGCAGCCCCAGAGCTACCGAGACGGTGGCCCTGGGGTGTCGCGACCAGGTAGCATCAGCGTCGGAAACAAAGGACCACGCGGGACGCTAGGTGTGCGGGGTCCTGGGGCTACCCTTGGGTTTTTTCCCTGGAGATGGCACGGTTTAGTGGGAATACCTGTGCGTGTCGTACATAGGTCAGCGGTGCAATGCGCTGGTTTGTGCTTATGGAAATGACCCGTGTGTAATTTGTGAGTGCGGATACCCCGTCGGTTGTGGGAGGAGCTTCTGAGATGAGGATCAGCCGACTGGGAGCCCTCAGAGCCCAGCGCCCACTGGAGAGAGCTCTCTGAGGCACACCCAGTGCTGTTCAAAGGCTGTTTTGGAGGACAGGCTTTTGGGGGCTTATAGCAAAATGTGAGTTAGAAAAGCAGAATTGGCTGACCCCAAACCTCAGAAGGATTTTATTGTATTATTTCAATACAAAACGTGGCCAGAATCCCTGTGTGTGTTTTAGAGTTATTTATGTATTTCAAAGGCAGAGTTAAAGAAATAGAGGTAATCTACCCCAAATGGCCACAACAGCCGGGGCTGGGTCGGTAGGACCCAGGAGCCGGGAGCTGCTTCTGGGTCTCCCGTGTGGGTGCAGGGGCCCAAGGACTAGGGTCATCCTCTGCTGCTTTCCCACGCCATTAGCAGGGAGTGGATTGGAAGTGGAGCTGCCAGGACTTGAACCAGCGTTCATACGGGATCCTGGTATTGTAGGCAGTAGTTTAACCTGTTATGCCAAAGTGCTAGCCTCTATGATTTCTTTAAACTGGTTTATTGACATACATTAAAATTGATTTTTTTAAAAGATTATATTTTGAAAGAGAGAGAGGGAGACTCAGTAATCTCCCATCCACTGATTCACTCCTCATTTGGCCACAGTGGCCAGCAGTGGGCCAGGCCAAAGCCAGGAGCTTTGTCCTGGTCTCCCGTATGGGTGCAGGGGCCCAAACCCTTGGGCCATTTTTCGCTGCTTTTTCCAGTCCATTAGCAGGGAGCTGGATCAGAAGTGGAGCAGCTGGGACACGAACTGGTACCCGTACAGGATATCACTGTTACAGGCCATGGCTTGACCTGCTACGCTACAGTGCCAGCCCCCAAATTGATCAATTTGAAGTGTACAATTCAGTGTTTTTTCAGCATAATCATAAGAGTGTGCAGCCAGCACCACAGTCAGTTTCCTTCACTACCAGCATTCATCTGCAACATCAGCACTCACCTCCCGTTCCCTCTGCCCCCAGTGCTCAGCAGCCGCTGATCTGCTTTCTGTGTTTGTGGATTTACCTGTGCTGGACAGTTTTTGTTTTTAAGATTTATTTACTTATTTGAAAGGTAGAGTTCCAGAAAGGAATGAAAGAGAAAAAGATCTTCCTCTGGTGTATGCTCCAGGTGGCCTCAATGGCCAGAGTTTTGCTAGATTCAAGCTAGGAGCTTCATCCGGTTCTCCCAGGTGGGTGCAGGGGCCCAAGGACTTGGGCTGTCTTCTGCTTTACCAGGGAGCTGGATCGGAAGTAGAGCACCAGGGACACAAACCAGCACCCGTTTGGGATGCCGACATCACAGGCAGTGGCTTAACACACTACACCACAACGCCGGCTGCCCTGGACATTTTATATGGAGTCCTAGTGTGTGGCCTTTTGTACCTGGCTTTAGCATGTTTTCAAAGTTCATGTTATAGTACTTCTCTTCAGTCTTGATGACTTGTGACTGAGTAATATTCCATTTAGTAGATAGGCACTCTTGTTTATCCACTCATTGTTTGATGGGCATTTGGGATGTTTCCACTTTTTGGCTATCATGCATACTATTGCTATGAATGTTCATGTACACATTTTATGTTTACATGCGTTTTCAGTTCTCCTGGTTATAGATGTCTGGGAGTAAGCTTGCTGGTCATATGGTGATTTGCTGTAACTGCCCGTTTTCCATAGCAGTCACACCACCAGTAGTACATGAGTTCCATATCCCAGTCTACATTTGATTGGGTGCCTAATGGTGTTGAGCATCTTTTCATGTGCTTATTGGCCATTTGTATGTTTTCTTTGGTGAGATGTCTATTCACATCCTTAGCTCATTTTTAAAAGTTGGAGTTTTTTCATTTTAGTTATAAAAGGTTTTAATTTTGATGAAGTACAGTTTATTTTTTCTTTTGTCATTTTGCTTGCTGAAAGGTGCTTCTAAGAATTGAGTCCAATGTCAGGAAAATTTGCCTCTGTGTTTTCTAGGAGTTTTATTGTTTTAGCTCTTGCATTTAGCTCTATGATCCTTTTGGAGGTAATTTTTATGTAGGGTGTGAGGTACAGGTTCACGTTCATTCTTTTGCATGTGGATGGCCATTTGTCCTAGCACAATTCTTTCAGTGTTCTTTTCCTATTGAATGATTAGCACACTTGGTTGACCATGGAACTGTTTATTTCTGGACTCTCAGTTTTTTATTTGACAGGTAGAGTTATAGACAGAGAGACAGAGAGAAAGGTCTTCCTTCCATTGGTTCACTCCCTAAATTGGCCGCTACGGCTGGCGCACTGCACCGATCTGAAGCCATGAGCCAGGTGCTTCCTCCTGGTCTCCCATGCGGGTGCAGGGCCCAAGCACCTGGGCCATCCTCCACTGCACTCCCTGGCCACAGCAGAGAGCTGGACTGGAAGAGGAGCAACCGGGACTAGAACCCGGGTTGCTGGCGCCGCAGGCAGAGGATTAGCCTAGTGAGCTGTGGCGCCGGCCTTCTTTTCATTTTTATATGAATTTGTGCAAAAAAAGATTCTGGGATTTGTTTTTCAATTGTATTCAATCTGTAGATCAATTTGGGGGCATACTTAGTATTTCTGTCCTTGTAATTCGCCTGTGTTTATTTTGATTCTTGTCTTGTTTTCCTGTTGTAATTAGCTCTTAAAAATTGGGTGTGTGTTTATTTGGGAGGGAATAAGCAAACAAGAAACTGGAGAAATTTGCCTGTTCATAGCCAGTCTTAGGAGCTGTGGGAAACAACGTCAAAGGATATAGTATGCATTTAAGGCACACAGACTCCATGGTGGGAAAGTTTTTTCTGCAAAGTGCCCTTTGGATACTCATAACATCATTTTGGGCCATACAAAATTATCAACTTAAAAATTAGCCTGCTAAGCCATTCGCTGAGGAGGGTCCTGGCTCTGCTGGGGATGGTTTCCTAAAGCAAGGGCTGCCCCCTGGCTTCTCAGCTGAAAGGCTTCAGTAGCACCCAGAGCCATGCCCCCCCCACCCTCTGTTTCTGGTCCACAGACTGTCCCCTCCTGGGAGAATGCTCCTTCAGTGCCAGGCCTTCCTCCCCTGGCCGTGAAACCGAAGCCTCCTTGGCCGCAGCAGCTAGTCTTCCAGGCCCGTGAGCTTTCCATCCTCACAGTCACAGCAGTGGGCCTGGCAGTGGCTCCCCAGAGGGAGAGATGGGCTTGCCGCTCCCCATCCGCCCCCAAAGGAAGGAACACAGACCCCTTGGGTGAGAAGGCTGGGAAAGAGTCCCTCCCAGGCTGTCTCTCGTGGCCTCACCATAGCCCCTACGACTGAGAGAGCGCAGAAGAAAGGTGAAAACTCTGCTCCTGGGAGCACGAGGGGCCGAGAGGGGGTCTGGAGATCGACCCCTGCCCATCCTCTTTATTTTCTTCTTCTCTTGTTACTATTTTTTTAAAAAGATTTATTTACTTTACTTGAAAGTCAGAGTTTCACAGAGAGAGAGAGAGAGGCAGAGAGAGAGAGAGGCAGAGAGAGAGAGAGAGAGAAAAGGAAAGAGAGAGAAGTCTTCCATCCGATGGTTCACTCCCCAACTGGCCGCAACAGCTGGAGCTGTGCCAGTCCGAGGTGGCTTTACCTGCTATGCCACAGAGCTGGCCCGGTTACTCTTTTAATAATTGCAATTCAGCCTGTACTAAATTCTCTGACTCATAGAAATGTGGAAAATGAAGATTTTTGTAGGAAACTACTTTGTAAAAAAAAAAAACCACACACATTCTGTTGGATATATTTTTGATGTTTTGTGTGTATACATGATGTCCTCTGGGAAAGAACAGGAGTGCTTAGAAGGAAGATGGTCTCTGTCTGGATTCTAGAAGTTCAAGTGAGCCATCTGATTTTTTTTTTAAAGAAATTCCGAAATATATTTGGCATTTTCTACTCTTCACAATGCATTTGAGCCACAGCATAATCAATGAAGGATCACAAATATTCTTTCGTTGTATGAACTACATGTTACACTCAGCACTTCAAAATTTTCATTTCACTAGTCTAAGTGAGATAATACATAAATAATATGGGTCTCCCATGCGGGTGTAAGAGCCCAAGGGGTTGGCTGTCTTCTACTGCTTTCCCAGGCCACAGCAGAGAACTGGATAGGAAGTGGAGCAGCTGGGACTTGAACCAGTGCCCATATGGGATGCCGGCACTGCAGGCGGCAGCTTTACTCGCTAAGCCACAGCGCGAGCCCCTCTTAGATGCATTTTTTTTTTTTAAACAAATGCATCCTGGCAGTATTTTCAGTTTGTTACTTGCAACTTTTGTTCTCCTACCTCAGTTTGGTCCCTGGAATTCTTTTGCTGTTTCCTCATGGAATAGTTAGAAACACAGACTTGGCATTCTAATGAACTATATTTTTGTCTGAGGGTTATTTTAGTCTTTTGTTGAGACAGCCAGTATGTGAGCATAATACATACCTACTTCAAAATATTTTGAAGGAGTTGTACAGAGCATTGTAGTCAATGAATGTCAGTGCTATGTTGTAACAGTTGTAGATTGGGCAACCAGAACAGACTGTTTTATGAGGGTTTTTGTTTTTAATATCTACCTGTTCTTTGTTATATGCTTTTTTCCCTTAAAATTGGAAGTTAGAACGCAATTCACATTCACTGATGGTTCCTGATAGAGTTCCTGCTGGCAGACGCTCACTGTATTTCCCTTTCCCTGGTGTCATCTCCACACAGGTAGAGTACAGAGAGATGGACGAGAGCCTGGCCAACCTCTCGGAAGACGAGTATTACTCAGAAGAAGAGCGGAATGCTAAAGCAGAGAAGGAGAAGAAGCTCCCCCCGCCGCCCCCTCAAGCCCCGCCAGAGGAGGAAAATGAGAGTGAGCCTGAAGAGCCGTCTGGTGAGTTGTAGTAAACAACCACAGGTTTTTTGTCTTTTTGTTTTTTTCATCTCAGGAATAAAGTGGATTATTGCTCTTCTGCAGTGTTGCTGTCTTCATTGTTGGTTTATATTCTGATACTGGGACTTTGTGTGTACATATATGTTTGTATATATACATATGTAGAGACACTGATATTCCTTTGGGATGTATGTGCATAAATAGGAGGAAAGTCATCTTCTATTAGAGAAATGATTGTTTCCTTTCGTGGCTCAGTTGGTTATCCTATGTGCCTTAGAGTATCCCTAAATGAGTTTCACATTAATGATGCTTTTCCATATTAACTGATTGCTAGCAGTCAGCTTTTTTATTTCCGTATAAAAACATAATTTACTGGATTATTTTTCCTCCATTGCTTTCCAGCAGTTGAAGTTTACCAGAACAATATTACAAGCAGTTGCTGGATTTAAGCTTTGTATTTGGTAATTGTTTTTTACTAGGAAACTCTGATATAGGAAGATAGATTCTAGTTTGAATTAGAAGTAGCTTTGTTGTGCATAGCCTGAGGCTTTTAAGGGAACTTATTTTAAAATAAGTAAAAGCAAATTTGAAATGGGCCATTAAGATGCCCTTCATTAGACTTCACATGGATTTCTCAATAGAGATTTCAGAAGAGAGAGTGTGTGTGTGTACATACTATTTTTCTAGGATCAGTGGTGTGCTGATATTTTCTAATGAAGTTCAGAGGCGTCTATTAAACCATTGATTAACTTCAAATTTATTTTATTAGATTGGGTTAGATGAATCTATTGAATTGAATGATGATGGGAAAGATCACCTTATTTTCTTATTTGTACTAAGGAATTTCTCTTTTGTTTTATGTGGTGATTTTGGGAGTGCGTGTTTGAAAGAGACATACAGCAGTCATTGATATGAGAGATTGGTATGACAGAACATTGTGTGGTTTTAATAAATTTGGGGCTCAGTACATGTAATAGTCATGCTGTGGTTTGAAAGTATTTTTAAAAATTGCACATAAAAGGAGATGCAACCTCAATTAAAAAATGCTTAATTATGGAAATAAACAAAATGTGTATGTAGGATTTAGCTGAAGACTCAGTGACAAATCACAGATGTTGTTACAATGAAGACAAATATCCATATAAAGAAGATTGATGAGCTGATCAGTCAGTGACTCAGTATAGCAAAAATCTGAAAGGTAAACTCTTGTGGACTATCCTTTAGAAGAGTTGAAGATTGATTTCCTTATTTTAAAAGAAAAAAAATTAAAGATCCTAATATTGGAACCTTATATTTATATAGTTCTTTGCTCGTAAGGTACTCTGGTTTGTCCGGGCAAGGGGGCCATATGATTGCAGTCAGTGACAAGTATGGGTGATGATTGCCAAGTACTGGTTTTGGCAGCATGGATAATTATGGTTAGGGTTCAGGTGAAGGATTTTGTTTTTCATTATGCTATAACTGTTCTCAGTGGCTCATCCCAAGCTTTTCTTTCTGATTTCTCTCTCCATGCCTATGAGTGGAGTCAGCGAGAGTAGCTTTCTGTTTTGGTGAGTTAACTCAGATGTCACCTCCAGAGGGAAGATGATTATAGTATTCCGTTTGGTCTTCATGGCCTACAGGAGGCCTTTTGTAGATTGGCCAGAAGTGGCTGGAGAATTCATTCCTGATGGAGTTGTCTGTGTTGCCATTTTGAAGTACTAGTGTAAATGCCTGAAAAATACCTGAAATCATTTGAGTTCTCCTTATGAAGTATGATACATACGTTCAGAAAATAGGCCTAGGGCTAAGTTTCTTGCCTTTTTTTTTTTTTTTTTGGAATAGCATCATTTCAGTGTTGATTTGGAACTGTGTTCCAAAACAGCTCAAGGGAGAACTGAGAAAAAATGTGATTGGCTGAAAAAGGCAATCTAGATCAGTTTAGTGAAATTCGTATATTATATTTTGGGAGATACTGTAAATGAACCGAAATATATAAACTACACAACCCATGGTCCCCAGTCTCAGATAATTTATAGACTAGCATGAGACACAAATGTCTACATCAATAGGTAGTAGAAAGCAAAACACTCTTATTATTATAAGAATTCAAAGACCAGATCCTTCTGCAAAGAATTCACAGCCCAGTCTAGGGGTACATGTGTTCTTTCTTTCTTTCTTTGTTCATTTGAAATGCAGAGCAACAGAGTGAGGGAAGGACCAAGAAATCTTCATCTGCTGGTTCACTCCCTAAATGGCTGCAAGAGCCATGCCTGGGCCAGGATGAGTAAGGCCAGAAGCACAGAACTCCACCCAAGTCTTCTGTGTGGAGTAGGGACTCCCAAGTACTTGAGCCATCCCTCACTGCCTTCCCAGGGGGCGTTAGCGGGAGGCTGGATCAGAAGTGGAGCAGCCAGGACTCAAATGGGCACTCAGATATGGGATGCTGTGTCGTAACGCAGGACCCAGAGGGGTATAAGTATTATTAATAATTGGCTACAACAAGCAAACAGTGCAGTACAAGTACATACAAAGACTGGAGAGGGCTTGAAGTTGTTTTTATTTTGTTTACTTTTTAAACAGATTGGTTTTTTTTTATTTGAAAGGCAGAGAGAGGGAGAGAGAAATCTTGCACCTGCTGGTTCACTCCCCAAATGGCCGCAACAGCCTACCCCAGGCAGAAACCAGGAACTCCATGTGGGTCTTCCATGTGGGTGGCAGGGACCTCAAGTACTTGAGCCATCATCTGCTGCTTCCCAAGCAAGTAAGCATGAAGCTGGATGAGAAGTGGAGTAGCTTTTGTCTCTACCAGCACTCCAGTATGGGCTGTAGGTGCCACAGGTGACAGCTTTACCCAGTGCACTACAATGACAGCTTCTATTCTTATTTTTTAAGGTAATTGATAAAATTGTATGTTGTGTGTAACAGGATGTTTTGAAGTATACTTACATTCATTGTGAAATGACTGCGTCTAGCTAGTTAACATGTACATTACCTCAGTTATTTTTGGTGAGAACATGTAACATCTACTTGGAACATTTTTCAAGAATACAGTATATTAACTAGAGTCATCATGTTGTACACGACATCTTTCAGGAGTCTTATTTTTCATATAAAGCATTTTTTTTTTCTTGATAGGCAGAGTGGACAGTGAGAGAGAGACAGAGAGAGAAAGGTCTTCCTTTTTCCATTGGTTCACCACCCCCCCCCCCCCCAATGGCTGCTGTGGCCAGCGCACCGCGCTGATCCGAAGCCAGGAGCCAGGTGCTTCTCCTGGTCTCCCATGTGGGTGCAGGGCCCAAGGAGTTGGGCCATCCTCTACTGCCCTCCCAGGCCACAGCAGAGAGCTGGACTGGAAGAGGAGCAACCGGGACAGAATCCAGCGCCCCGACCGGGGCTAGAACCCGGTGTGCCAGTACCGCAGGTGGAGGATTAGCCTATTGAGCTGTGGCGCCATCCCATATAAAGCATTTTTAAAAACATTCTTTATGTACGGGGCTGGCACTGTGGCACAGTAGGTTAGTCCTCCACCTGTGGTGCTGGCATCCCATATGGGTGCCAGTTCTAGTCCCAGCTGCCCCTCTTCCAATCCAGCTCTCTACTATGGCCTGGGAAAGCAGTAGAAGATGGCCCAAGTGTTTGGACCCCTGCATCCGTATGAGAGACCAGGAAGAAGCTCCTGGCTCCTGGCTTTGGATCGGTGCAGCTCCGGCTGTTGAAGTCATCTGGAGAGTGAACCAGTGGAAGGAAGACCTTTCTGTCTCTCCCTCTCACTGTCTGTAACTCTGCTTCTCAAATAAATAAACAAAATCTTTTTAAAAATTATTTGTTTACTTATTTAAGAGACACACAGAGAAAAAGAGAGTTCCCGGGGTTGGTGCTGTGGTACAGTGAGTAAAACTGCCCCTTGCAGTGCTGGCATCCCACATGGGCACCAGTTTGAGACCTGGCTGCTCCATTTCCGATCCAGCTCTCTGCTGTGGCCTGGGAAGGCATGGAAGATGGCCCAACTCCTTGGGCTGATGCACTGGTGTGGGAGACCCGGAAGAAGTTCCTGGCTCCTGGCTTCAGATAGGCACAGCGTTGGCTGTGGAGTGAACCAGTGAATGGAAGACCTCTCTGTCTGTCTGTCTGTCTGCCTCTCTCTCTGTAACTCTGACTTTTAAATAAATAAATGTAAAAAAAAAAAAAAAAAAAAAGAGGTCCTGCCCACCCCCCCACCCCACCACCCCCCGATTGTTTCCAAAATGCCACAACAGCCAAGCTTCGGCCAGACCAAATCCAGACTGGGAATTCAGTCTCCCTTGTGGGTGGCAGAAATCCAGCTACTTGAGCCGTGGCTGCTGCCTTCCAGAGTCTTGCTTAGCAGGAAGTTGGAATCAAGCTGGTACTGGTTATCGGTCCCTGGAACTCAACATGGGATGCAGGCATTGCAATGAAGTCTTAACTGCTAGTCCAGACACCTGTCCCAGAAGTTTCTCCCCAGTTTTGGGTTTTGGAAGTTTTGCATTACCAATAAGGGAATGATTTGTGTTTTTCTCAAGTGGATTTAGATTCTTAACTGTTGAGAGCTTTTGACTGATAAAAACCATGCAGTCAGATATTTGGTCTTTTGAGAGGTTGAGCTGCTTAATGGAAGATTTCAGTTCATTGATTATTTTGTTTTGCTTTTTATTAAGGCAGAATAGTAATTTGTTTAGCCAAGCAACTTTTTTTAAAATAAGTTTTTTGAATTCTTTCTACTGCTGTCATTTGGTATGATCATGCTGTAATACATAAGCAGGACACTGTGAGGATTTTGTCATCTGCAGAGTAGCACTTTGGATATGAGAATCAAATGAGAGAATGGGAAGTCCATCTTTATATATAAAAATCTTGTATTTTTTAAACACAGTTGAACCAGGAATTGGGTAGATTGATGTTTTAATGCAGAAACAAATTCAGTTTATGGGTTATATAGATAGACAAGCTCTATTGCTTTTGGAAACTTTTAGAAAGTATAATAGCCCATTTATAATAAT